ATTGTACAAGAGGTCTCACGCATCAAATACGAGTTATATCAGCTAGATCCTGTCACACGTTTCAGCTCAACCATTAATAATAAAACCCATCGAAAAAACTTGGAAAAGATTTTCGGTGTTCCATATCATTGTATTCAGGATCAATACTATAGCTTCTAGAAAGAACGTAATTATATTTGCCATTCACATGAAAATTACTCCATGATAGCGTGATGCCGAGCTTCTGGAAAATAATATGCATTTTTTGCTTTAGTATTGATATAACCATGTTTCCTAATTTCACTTCATTAGCCTAACACGAGCAAAAGCTCCAAGACTTACCTGAGCGAGCTCAACATAGAAGCCGACAAACTTCGGCCAGACGGAATACGTATGCAGACGCTCAATGGGCTAGCGATACAACGCAAGGTATCGTTATGCACGCCTTCAATGAACTTACCTGTTAGGAACCCATGACCGCCTTTAATATCCGTTTTGGTTTGAGAAGGATTCAGTATGAGCCAGTATTATCGATATATTACGTTCGCGTGTCTTTTCGCAGGTTTACTGAGCCCAAATGTGAAACTTTAATCCTTGGGCTCACAGTTTCAAATAGCAACTGTCCAATAGTTGCTCGAGAAAGAGAGCCTGTCGATGGTTCTTGCTGAAAAGTCGCGATTCTTGTCCTTTCGCATTTAAAGTCCGAATCCAAAATTCTCAGAACCCAGTTCCTGATTCTTAGGAGCTCTGAGTATTTTTTAGAACCGTGACTCTGGTTCGGTTCTTTTTAGGCGTGTCTTTTTGTTCTTACCAATTTAGCACTTCTATCGCAATGCAAACAGATCCAGAAGAAACAAAATGATGTTTGCAACAACCAACAAAACCCCAAAGACGTCAACAGCGGATGCGGGGATTAATGTATGACCTCTCGTATCGGATGCTGCCGTAAATGTACGACCTTCCCTAGTCGATAACGCAACCGACGAGACGTATTAGCGAAACGTTTCCGATGCTCAAACGAATACAGATTTGAATAAGTTGAATCGACGAAAACCAATTCTCGATACTGAGGATCAGATATGGTCTCATGAATGGATTAAACAATTATTCAAGGCTAATCCTAATTGGAGCTCGCTTAAGACCAATCTAACGAATCGTAAGACTATAAACATTGACTAACGCTATTTTCTTGATTAAAAAGGTTCACTCATTTTTGAAAAAAACAAGGTTGAAGACTAATAACTACCGAACGATCGATTGGGTAGTCACAGAAGCTCGGATCGGAGGTATGTGGTCTAACGGAGAAAGCAGCTCGATAGATGAGAATATCATTACGGGGCAAGAAGATCTTCAATCTGCACTAATGGTCCAAAGATACGTACGCAAGCGCAAGGTTGAAAACCCAGCAGAAGTCGATAATAGAAGCATTACTAAAAAGCGTCTTTTAAACTCCGATAAGACTTTATCGATAGCATCTGATCAAACAGTGTCTTTTAAACTCCGATAAGACTTCATCGATAGCATCTGATCAAGCTAACAGCAAAATCAAGCTGACTTGGCTGATATCGAGAAACAAGGCCTTACTCGAGGCTAACGGTTTGGTGAAAGCGATCGTACCATATCTCAATGTATCAGCTAAATCGTATACAATTGATAGAGATGGGTTCGTCTGGACGGACTGCAATTCGGTGTCAGTCTTCAAGATTGGGTCTAAACGTCCAAAATCAGCAATCACGAATAGGGTCAACTAGATAACCACTCTACAAGCATTCGAGTCTATGGATAAGGTACGAGGCAGCGAGCTGGTATTCGCTGGACGGAAGGATAATGAAATAGATATCAATGTATTTGTTTCATCCGAAAGCGAGCCTCGGGAAGGGATGTTGAGCGGGGTTCATGAAGCGATGAATTCAACCAAGAGCAATGCTGATAACGAAGCTAAGGCGATTCTAGAAGCATACTTCGCGAAGCTAAGAGATAGCAAAGTATCCATCCCATTTCGTCTATCACAGATCGTCTATAGTAAAACCGGCCCAAAAACGCATCAAACGTTCTACACCGGACAGGCTACAGCTACCTTCTCCATAAGCATCCGCAATGCTCAGGATAAGACCATTTCAAGTGAACCAATTAAGGACTTACTGAGAAACGTTGGATGGACGGATACTTTTAATTGATTAATCCAGGGTCCCAAATCTCTAGACGAAACGCTAAACGCCAGTTCAACTTAAATCAATTCCAGGCTAAATGGGGAATTTGGCAATGTGCTTCATGCCGAATCGGAAGCTATCAGAAATATGGAGAGGCTCAGAAACGCTACGAAGTGGCAAAAGCAGATGTTAAATGCAAAAGTCCGAAGGCAGCTAACGTTGCAATGAAAGCTACTAAGGCTGTATATTAAGCCAAGGCTAAAGCATACGCTAACTTCAACAACCATCCAGCGCGAATCCAAGCTCGTTGGACGAGGACTGAAAGGGACTGGAGTGAAGCCTCTTGAGTATATAGTTCGTCGCGGGCGAGTTTATAACCAACGAGATTCAAGACAAAACGCCTCCATCGGCTTATGTATACCGACAAACGGGTAGTAAATACATTCAAATCCCAAATTTAGACTCTAAAAGGTTAGATATCGTCCAACCGAGCCGACGAGCTTGCGGTCCCAAATGAAAATCAGTAACAGTCTCCAAGACGTAGTAAAAAACCAGGCAGCCAAACAACAAATCGCTCAATCCGCGTACGATAAGTTGAGTATCGATGATAAAAAAAATCGTCAAAGAGATACTCGCTATCACCACATCTTCAATATAATTTCCAAGATCGATTAGAGCACCCGTTAGAGTCTCTGAAAGCCGATTATGACAAGATGAAAGACGAGCTTGAACTAGCTAAGACAACCCTTCGATCATCAAACAGCTCAAATCCCTGTCGGTGGATATGTACTCTATTCATCTCACTTCGGACTCTATTTTAAGGACATTATCGACCGTTTACTATAGGGTGATGTTTTTCTTCAATCTAAGAATCATATCGGCCTCCGGAGGCCGATATGGCGAAAACGTTGATCGGAACGTAGCCGGGTTCAAGGCATTCATGAAATATCAATGCCTTAAAATAACCGAACCAGAACCACGGTTCTGATAATTACTCAGAACCCCTAAGAATCAGGAACTGGGTTCTGAAAATTTATGCGTTCGGCGTTTTAATTGCGAAAGGACCAGAACCACGACTTTTCAGCAAGAACCATCGACAAGCCCTCTTTCGCGAGCAACTATTGGGCAGTTGATATTTGAAACTGCGAGCTCAAGGGTTGAAGTTTCACATTTTGGGCTCGGTAAAATCTGCAAAAAGATATGTGAACGTAATATATCGGTAATACTGGCTCATACCAAATCCGTCTGAAACCAACAGCTGAATTAAAGGCGGTAATTGGTTCCTAATCGGTAATTTCATTCAAGGCGTGGAATTCCTCGACAGACCCAAGCAGTCGTTTGGGCGAGCGATCTCAATAAGAAGGTGAATACATCGGCCCAGACTGACAGAGGCCGTGCTTTGGCGTATCAACGTAGCCAGTAAAATGATACGGGAAAGCCCTTCGCGATCTAAAGCAGAATGATGAAGATTTTGGATTCTAGCTTCTTCAACCTAGTCTCATGGTCGGCAATCTTGGCGTTAGCAGAAGCTAATTGAGAAAATAGATCGGTTTTGACGCTGTTAATGAAGTGTTTTTTGCTGCTGGTCAAGCACTAATCAACGGAGGTAGCAGCACATCTTGGTGTAATCAACGGAGAACTCGATAGCAGCCGTGTCGATCTAAGGATCCTCGCTGACTAGCGATTCATTGAGGGAGAAAGTGACAATAGCTCCTAGACTGGCCTTGAGTAGATCATGAGCTCGATATTCAATCTGCAGCGGTACGCTAACGGCCCGACTCTCATACCGATAGATCATCGACGTTATCGAGAGCATATATGCCAATATTGACGTTGTGTCCAGCGTATCGAAGAAAATTCCCCCCTTCCATCTGAGGTAGTGTATACCCCTGATCTCGCTAGAATGGCGCCCGTTGCTTAGATGATACCAGCTATAGGACCTATTGTTGATAACAACTCTTCAAAATGCAAGAGGTAGGCTACTCCGCCTCCAGCGCCATCGATGATTTGGGTCGCGTAAACCGAGACTTGAAGCCCTGTCGAAGGTGTTGACGTTTAAACTCCGACTCTACCGCTATTCAGAATGGCCACACGGCTCAAGTTATTGGTGCATATATGGAGACCGCTCGGCGTTAAATTACCAACCCAAGCAGCGATTGTTGATGTGAAGCAAGACCCACTATGAACCTCTATATGAAACTGAACAGAGGTTGAGAAAGCTAATCATGCGAGCATGCAAGCCATCGAGGTAAGCCGTTCCGCTTGATTAAATTCGCAGGTATTCCGTGCTGGTTGTAGCATTGATTCCAAGCTCTGTGAGAGGCCCTACCGCTGTAATACCTGATTGATTATCATACGATAAACATTCGTTGATATGGCCGCTAGCAGTTATATCATCTGCCGGCATAGCATTAATTTCGCTGATGCTGCCTGTGGACCCTAGCACGAGCGCGTTGCTACTAGATGCCGTCCCAGGCGTTATCCCAGTGATGTATGATGGTATCGAAGTGGTCGGCGATCCAGCTACGGATAAACGGGAACAGACGAGAGTTCCAATACCGGTAGTGTCACTGTTGGTTCCTGCTATAAGGGCTGACACTTGACCTGCTAAGTCAGGTGAAACAGCGCTAAGAAACGTTAGTCTATAGCTATCCCTCCCGATGTACAATGCCTGAGCGTATGAGTAGGTCAAAAGCTACTCGCATTTAATGAGAGGTAGAATGCTGGGATGTAGATGCTTGCATTGAAGATAGGATTTGGAAATAAGAGTCCAGAGTTCAATTTGTTTGGAGCTATATAGATCAAGCGATAATCCACGATCACCATCCCCGATTTTGGAGCATTGCTTCGAAGAAGTTTAAATCCTCTTCGATGGGTGATATCTCAGCACTGGATACCAAATCGCTATTCCGAATGATTGCCCTTGATCCGAGCTATAGCGGGAAGAACCATCTCTGTCTACATGTATTTATCCAAAAGAACTCATCTCAGTTGTTTGCACATCTGACGGCCATTGCATGTAATCCACACCAGGAGCTGCATGATTATCTTCGGGTACAAATTGGAAGGGTTTATCACATTAGCCGATCCAGATTCGTCTACGATAGGTTGATCAAGTACGAAAAGGCCCTCAAAGCTCGATTAAACCTGAGCTACTCATCATAGATGTTTACAGCAACGACAAGCTACTCCTGAAGAATGTATTCAGCCATCATATTTCAAGAGGGAGGCATTTCAAATTGAGTGCCGTTTTCCTCAGCCATAGCTATTTTGCCGTTGATAAGATGCTACGTTTGAATTCAGAGTACAAAGCGATTTTAAAGGCTAATTCAAAGCGAGATTTAACAATGGTTCTCAAGGACTTAAAGTTGTCCGGAGTCGCGAGCGATCTATCGTTCATCACTATAACAGAGCAACTGAGCGAAAGGACAGAGCGTACTCATAGGTAGCGTGAGAGATCAATTGAGGTATAATCTCGATCGACCTATTCGAACCGACGAGTAATTATGAAATCGGGATAATATCTCGTTATTAATATACCATTAGCATATGTGCTTCCTTCGTAAAGCCTGATTCGACTAACCTAGTCGTCGATGGATGCATAGATCGTGGAGATACAGCTTCCCAGGCAGTGCGGCTGACTTCAAGGCATCCCTTGCGCGGTTCGGTCGATTTCTACGTATATTTTGAATATAACATCGATGCTAGCCAATTCTGGAACAATTCATTCCGAATTGAGGTACCGACTGGTGGAACGTCATCGACAATTGTAACCGTCCTCCCTGATGATCGCTTTACGTATATGGATAATAATCGAAGCATTCAGACCGCTCTGGCTAGTACTGGAGCATTTCTAGTGGACCCATCGGCGAACAATGTGTTCGGTATCCAGTTGACTTAGAATAGCGTATACTATGCTGCCCAGTTCGATTTTAGTACCACTCCATTGACCTTACCATCAGGCTATACTAGACATGCTACTGGGTTGTATAGCACCAGCGGCACGGGGCTACTTACGACAATCCGTGTGCTCCGACTGGTAATTGATAACGCCGCATTGGTTTGACCACAGGGACTTACCCGCTGCTCCCGCTACGGTATCAAGTGCTCAGCTATCGAATATCATCCCTCAAATCCATCCAACATCGTCGTATATCGTTTGATGCGATTTGTCAAGAATGAATACGTTGCTTCTGGTGATATTTTGAGTGCATTTGATCGAGGTGATGCTGCTGTTGGCCAGCTGATTAGTTATAAGCCTAGTTAGTATGCCTCGATAAATTGTTTTAATGAATCTCGATCAAGCATCACGATTCCTATTTATGATCAAAACGATCAACGTGTCAAGTTTAGAGATAGCTCGGTCAGCATCACGTTGTTGCTAAGGGTAAAAAAAAAGCTGGTTTATTTTTTTATCACAAAAGGCTGGAATTAGTTTAATCTAAAACGGCCGACAAGTATAGCGTACCGCAGTCATTTTAGTCTTGGCTTCGTCGGATCTTTCACGGGTCTCTTACTCACACCAACTCCGTATCGCCGACAAACCTCACCCCGAACTGACTTGATTAGTGTTTCATGCTCGGGTTTGCTGCTTTAAAAAGGCTATACCTCTCGTCAGCATCGCCTTCATCGGCTAGTACTCCTTTCCACTTAGCATAAGATAGAGCGTTCCTTGCTGAGTTCTTAGCGTCTGCCATGGTGATACGTCCGCCGGCTTTATTCTCATCATCATCGCTGTCATAGATGCCGACCCCTGTCAGAGAGTTTAGAGCAGCACGAACTGGGATTTCTTCCTGAGGAGCTCTAAATGCGGTCGCTAAAGTGAGTACTGCAACGCCAGAGTACTCCTGTATTTTATTGGAAGCTGAAAGCGGATTTCAGACGAGATTTTATCGAATTCTAGATAGATCCGCCCTGAGCTCGTTTGGACCCCTTTTTACCCTTTTGAATCCCATGTATCGATTCGAACGCCTCGACCTGCTTTGTGTGCCTTGGGTGCCTTCTCATATGATGAGGGATGAAAATGGATAACTGCTCCGCCACCCTAAAGCTGAGCGCTCGTTAGAGGTAGCTTTCCGGTCTTGAGTGCTTTGGTGAGTTTGGCTGCGGCACATCGCTGGAGATCGTTAGGTCACGAAACATGGTTGTTATACTTGCTAAACAGTTTAATTATAGAAAGGTTAAATTTATTTCTTCTATATTTTAAAAACGTCTGGTTGATTGTGTTGCTTTGAGTAAAGCCGGAGCATGCACCATATTGCACAATATTCATCGTAGGTGCCTTGATATTGCTTGGTGTTGTATTTGCTGATTCCGTACTTTGATGGAGGGCCTTCGCCCATACTATCGAAGTATACCTGATTGTGGACTGACGCTCAATGGCCGACACTTAGTGTCGGAGGGTGTATTAAAATCAAAAACAAGCCTTTTTCGGAAGCGGTTTGCTAATTTTAGATGATTCGTAGATTTTTTCGAGTTTAATAATGTTTTTTTCGACTAGTTCAATCAAATCATGATCGCTCGTTAAACCCTTGATTAGGGCTGTCATATTATTTCATTTCTAAAAGTATATGTTCATCGATATAGATCAAATGATGTCTGAAACACTACCATCCGATCGGTATCTTTACCAGAGCCCTCTGAAGAGGACTCTGGAAATCAAGGTATCTACCGGGAAGCGTGTGCCCTTCGCTATCGATCTGAACCAAGGATCGTACCAGAATGGTGATATCACGATTGAAGCTACCGCTCAGCAGAATGGAAGCGAGGGGTTTGCTTCGCTTCGAGATGCGTAGATCATGCTCTCCTATAATGTGAGTACGAAAAACACGCATACTACAGCTAATCAGGCAACCCCTAATAGGTTTTCAGCTACAATGAAGTGCGGCAATTCGAATGTCATCGATTCGTTATCGATTGAGCTGAATGGAAAAACAGATGTCACTATGGCTGATTATAAACTCTTTTGGATTTATATCCTAGCTCAGGCTTCCTACTCTCCTCAATATGTAAAGGTCCACGGAGCTGAGGCTTTCCTCTACCCCGATGCCGCTCGGTCCGTATCATACAGCGCGGGCAACATATCCTCCAACGGCGATGGATACTCGAATAATGCAGCTTTCGGCTCGGCATTCACTCCATCCTCTCCTCTTGGCAGAGCAGCGATTGCTAACGATGGGCTCGTTAAGAGGTGTTATTTAACCCTCCCACTGCTGGTAGTGATTTTAGTAGCACTTGGCCAATGTCGGGTGGAACAGCTGCCTCGACCACAATAGCTAACCAGACCGCGCACAGCGCATTCGTGGCCGGTTCGGGACTCGTTGGTTCCATTGTGAGAACGTGGAACTATATTCTTAAAATTAAGCTGACGGATCTGCATCCCATCTTCAAGGATCTGGACTTAATGGCGAGCCCTCAAATCTGTCTGCGCTTCCGTGTTAATTAGGACTCGTCTGTTATGAATTTGGATGTCTTTAAGGGGATGGTGCTCGCAAGTACAACTCTAGCGTCTGGAAACACATGTCCGGTAATGATGGCAAAAATCTAGATTGCCCCCATACTATTATCCCGAAGCCCGTGAAAAGGGTGCGATACAATGACTGCTATGCTCAGCTATTCTATCAACGCGCGGGCATCGGTAAGCTGTCAGCTTAAATGAATGCCTCGTTCGATCTACAACTATCGACTAGTGTTTAGAACGCCAAATGTGTCATGGTATTGCCCTTCGCCGAACAGACGGGTCTCTTCATTACTGCTGCTGTTCAACAGCCCCAGTCTCCGTTTGATAGCGCGCCATGGACGCTACACCCCGTCTCGTCGATTTGCACCTTCAACGTCCGCATCGGCTCTACGCAGGGTTTCAATATTAGTCATGATTACGATTTCCGTCAGTTCGCTGACAAGATTGCTAAGATTAGCTTGATCAATGGCGACTTGACACCCGAACTCGTCAACGGCCTGCTTGACTATCAGACGTGGTCGTTGATCAATCGATGTTTGATCGCCGATGTAAGCAGGTTCACGAAGCGCGACCACAGGCAATTCAGATTTAGGGCACGAATGCAGGGTGCCAAAAAACTAAATTGATTGTTCTGGTTGTTAGCGAGCAGGAGCTGACCTACAACCGTCTGACAGGAGAAGTATTGGATTTTACGACCCCAAAATAATATTAAATATTCATTTGAGTTAATAATATTGATCGATATATAGATATCATGACTACAAATGCTCGTTTCGGCAAGCACAAAGGCTCCACCATTAAGGAGGTATTTGAGAAGGACCCCAGCTACTGTCGCTGGCTGCGCTCTCAAGAAATGCTAGTTGGACGTGATTCTGATATCGTCAAATATCTTTCGAGTAAGTTCGCTTATACCCGATGATGGATCGCATTTACTAAACTTTGGTAAATACAAGGCAAGCCTATTAAGCAAGTTGTTGGAACCGATAAAGCATATTTGATCTGGCTTCATTCAAGTAACTTCACAGCAGAAAAAGATCCGAAGCTAGTCGATGCCGTCGAAGATTTGATTTAGAACGAATTGATTTGATTATTCATTAATGCTGAATTTGAGGAATTATCTATGAAATCCTGAAACTATTTCTGAATTTCAGACATTGTCTTTACATTTAATACGTGTATTCAAAATATTAGCCCAATGGCTATAAGGTGATCGAAAATATATGTTGGTTGTGTGAGATGATTTTGAAGGTGGAAAATGTCCTTATTTAGATATTAACGATAGGAATGGTGCTCAGGGAACGGGGCTCATTATTTGTGAAACATGATTTGCATTGTGTGTAATGATGTAGGCGGGACATGGGGCTTGTGGCTGGGTGCTTTAAAAACGGTACTATATCTTGGTAAGTGCTACTACTAACAGCGGCCACAAGCTCCCAGCTATCACGTTCATCAGCATCAACCCGATGTACGGCTGCTGCTACTGCTGGCTTTTCCACTTATCAACCAAATTAATACGCACAGTATTAAGGCGATACATCTCACCATCGGTAAACTTCTGCAACGCCTGGCAAAACGTATGGTGCGTGTAGAAGTTATCCGAAACCACTAGCCTATGTCCGGTAGGAGATCGTAGATCTTGGGTCTGATAGCCAGTCATTGCAATCCACAGCGCCGTAGCTGAGTCACTCTCAATAAATACATCTTCGGCACGTAGTGTATTACAGAGCAGCATTATCAGGGTATGATATAGACTTGTACATCTTTCAGAAGGGGTAGATGGCAAAGTATTGCCCGACTAATTATCCCATAATGAGTGCAAGTACAAAGCATTCCATCCAACAACCGCATAGAAGCGAACTCCATCCGAGCCCCAGGCTCGGATGGCATAAATGGTTTTACTTAAGATTTTGCTTTAGTCGTAACCGTCATTTCATCGATACTGCTGACTCCAATAGGTACAGCAAATTCAGCAAAGCGCTCTTGAAATGTTCCTTTATCCTGCAAAAACGCCAATGCAAATCTCATGTTTGTAATAAAAAAAGTGCTTGGGCGGGTACAATTTCAGCGCACCCTCGGATCTGCTGGAATCGTGATCTGGTCATGGTCTCAATGAATTCTGGATTCCCCAGAAACCGACGGTTTGACCAAAGGACGGTGATACTGCCCATGTTCAAAATCATGGAACCCTAAATATTGATACAGGATTCATCCCATGTTTTGGCCAGGATTCAGAAAACCCATCAAATCGGATACTTTATTTACGCAAGATTTGAAAGTATCTTTGTATCTTCGGCGTCCTCGAGCTCATATTTTTATAGAGCCCGAAACGCAGCACATGTACAAAAGTCCATGATCGTCTAAATTTTACGTGGATAGTCCATGACTGCTTGAAAAGATTTCGACAAGGTACTGATGAGCAACACGCTAACTCACGTCGATGCAGAAAGATGGCAGAAAGAGATAATGAGTCAAGTTAAAGCGATGACGTGTATTAGCAATTAATTACCCCAAGGAGCAGGTGCTTCGCACACACGCACTAGCTGACCGCTTTATGGTGCACGCAACACGCTCCACTTGCGCTACCTCGTACCTGAAAACGTCCGCCACGTCAAACATCCCACATCTCTGCTCTAAACCGTAGCGGTCAGTGTTACCGGCAGAGATTTGTCGTCGTCATCTTGGTCTAGGACAGGTGCAGCTACTTGTGGTTGCAGCGGAAGCAATCGCCCGGTGAGAATATAGTACATCAACTCAAACCGGCGCGCAACGAGGCCATGGGTGCTCATATCAGTCGGGAGTCCTGGCGTGGCGTTCCGCATAAAAAACCAGCACACAAATGCGCCGCAGCTGTGTAGATCAAATTGGATTGGGCTCTGCATGTGATACTTATCAAAGTTTCTGAGAGCCTCGACTTGAATGCAGATGCTCGACACAATTTCTTCGCACGCGCGTATGTACGCCTTAGTGCTGAGCGGGTCGTAAAACAGGATCCGCTTGGCACTCCGCTTCACCACGATGCCGCACCAATGCTCGTTCTCGTAATTAACCGAGATCAGAATCGTGTCCACCTCGTCCATACTACACAGCTCACGGAGTCTAGTCGCGACCTCAGGGCTGACCGCTTGGCTGGGCTGCGCTCGTGTGCGCCGCTTGGTTTCGGTGGCCTTCTGGTCTCCGGCAAAGCGGCACGTCGGAAAGTCCATTTCCAGTCGAGAACACAAGGCACGAATAGCAGCATCGGTCATCCAAAATGGCGGGACGGCCGTGTAAACTGACATGCACCGGTTTTCCGACCGTTTCGGCAGACCCGAGAGCCAATCGTCTGGGTAAAGTTTGCACACGTACTCTGCGGCATAACGCACCGTGTCGTGGTACGCTGCAGGCATCGCCGAGAGAGCGTCGTTCAGGAGCCATCTGCACAATCCCAGCCCTTGCTTCACGTGAGCCTTAAGCTGAGAGATGCGGCGGAAGGTCTCAATTTGCTTGCGGTTGAACGCACCGATCTGCGCGATCTGGATTACTTCGACGGCGTCTTGCTTTGAATTTGCCGTAGGCGGTGTCCGCAAATCAACTGCAGTATTTTTACAGTTATGCAATGGCAGCAATTTGAAACACGACTCGATGAGATTGTCCGGCAGGATGTAAAACGGATCCTGGATCAAATCAGGTTTTTTTATCCTGGAGAACGTCGGCTTTTTTGCGGCGAACGACTGGTAGCGGACGAGCACACCAGAGAGTCGCCTTCGAGTTTCTTCAAGTCCAGGTTTATCTCGATCAAGCGCGGCTGCGAGGTCCAACAGCGTCACTTAGCCTGCGAGGCGCCGGCCTGCTTGTCCTGCCTGGTACCACTTCTCGTCAACTCGTTCTTTTACAGCAGCTTGCTTCTCGTCTTTTTTGGGACGGCCTGTTTTGGGTGCTTTCTGGTTGATTCTAATAGTGAAGGGCACCAGTGCGGTCGAGGTGACGTTTGCCGCGGCTGGAGATCTACTGATTGCTTTCGGACCGACCTCCTCGCACACAACTCCATCGGGCAAATAGTCTTCGTATTTGCGGGGCGCGGACCTCGTGTCCTCGTTCTCTTGTGAGGTCAAGTTGTTATTGTCGCGCTTCCTCTGTCGGACGTTGTTCCACTGGCCAAGCAGGAACTGGAGCATTTCGTCAAACTCAGCGTCATCATCAATATCCGCCAGCTCGGATGCAATACGCTGAGTGGCCCGTAGTGCCTCCTTGTAGCGCTGGCCAGGTGTACGGAGAGCTCGTTTACTTGATTTCTTCTCTTCGCCGCTGACGCGATATGCAACCTGCCGAGTTCGGGGGAGATCGGCTGAAGTGCTCGTCCATCTGCAACAATCATGGATCAATCATGGAAAAAACATGGGCACGCTGGTTAGTTCAATCAAAGATGCGCATTACCGTCTCATTACTTACCTCTCGTCTATGCGATTCCAGGGAATGACGTTGTCCTTCACACCCGTATGCTTGCGATACGCAATGACATGGCGGCATGGAAGCCGCATAGATAATGCAAACTCACAGTTGCATGTCCAGTCGATCAGCTGGATCCGGTGTACGTGCTTCTTACCACTCACCGTTACGACACCTGGCTCGACTGGGTCCGGCTCGAACCTGTACGTGTCAGCCTTATGAAGACCAGCGGCATACTGAGGCTCCACTGCTTTGGCTGCATGGTGGGTGGTGAAACGCAGCACCATTGCCATCTCTTTGTCGTAGTTAGAGTTGACAAAACGACCGACCTTATCGTGCTGGTGGCGATACTCGTTCTTCTCCAGCATATCGGATTCCACTAGTGCCTCGATGCACGCTGACATCCTGGTAGAGCTCTTGACCCCGGTCTTAAACTTGCCAAACCAACTCTCCAGATGGTTGTTGGTGTGTACGCGGAAGTGCGGAAGCTTGTTGCGGTGCCACAGAACCCACATGTCCTTGCACGAGTCCCAATTACGCTCAAAGTAATTGTAGAAAGCCTCCATATCCATCCTGGAGCATAAACCTTGCAGTGCTGACTTGTGTTGCTCGTACTCGTCGTTGCCGGGCGCGTAAATCATACTATGGATGGCCGCGTCGATCTGAGAGGAGTCTTGTGTCAACAATTTGGGGTACTCCGGTTTCGCCCGCTTCTCCTTCAGGTACTTGATCACATGAAACACAGATATCAGTATCTGGGCCTCAGGAAAGTGGCTGCGCAAAATGCGGATCTCGTTTAGATCCTTATCCACCATGATCACACGCAGCATGTTGAAGCGCCCTTGGTGCGCGCGCTTGAAGTGATCACACGCGCGGTCCATGTGCCAGTCCGAGTTGGTCTCGAGTAGTGAGTGCTGTACTGGGACGCCCTTGCCGTGGTCATTCACCACCATGAACGTACAGAGCTGGTAGTTGGTACTGATCAGCACACGCTCAGTAAATCTCAGTCATGGATTAATCATGGATCAGATATAGATAATCATGAACACTACCTGTTTGTCTTGTGCGTACAGTCGATCATCAGGAACTCGCTAAATCGATAGTACATGCGCCGCATGTGCTTGGACGTCAACGAGATCACCCCTGTCTTACCTGTATGAGTTTCGTCCACACTTATGAGGTTCTCGGGATCCGCTGCCGCAAAAGCACCAAGCCCACTGGCAACTGCATCGTCTTCGTCCATTGACGAATCACCAGCGGCATGTTTCTGCACCAAGTTGT